GTAGGGATGATTTTAAGAAAATTTTAATTGACACACAGCTTCGAATATTTGGCTTTTAATTTGGTTTTATGGGGGTTTTTTGTTCTTTGATGTATTTTGTTTGTCTGTTTTAATATGCTGTGCACCGCCCTGAGTCCTACGGGAGAAGGGCGGTATATAAATTAAATTATTAAATTAAATTAAATTATTAAATTAAATACACAACTACATAATACTTTATATGCTGTATGCTGTCAGCAAATATTATTATCTTGGAGAAGTGTGCCTTCCTTCCAAACATTTTAATTTCAGCAGACAAAAAAGATGAAGCAATATCGTTCATATTCTGCAATGTAATTTGCTCAGACACTTTTCTTAATCTGAAGCAATAGGAATAGCAGCTTTCTTAATATGTGTGTAGTTGTATTATTACATTCAGGTTCAACAGCTGAAAGAATTAAAAATCTAGATAAAATCTAGTATACAAGATGTTAAATTACTAAAACAATTAAATTGTTCTAAATGTGTTGGAGACTGTTTTACAACTCTGCTATGTTCTACTATGCAAAGAGGTTACCTGTCCAATGGTGAAAATTGCTACTCCAAGAAGGAAAGGCATCCAGGATTTTCCAAAATACCAGATAGTAAACCAAGATGTAATGTCCAGTAGGAAAGCATGCAGAAACATGAAAACAAAAAAGCTGAATCTTGACTTCAAGAGCCCCATCTTCTCCACTGTTGCACGCAGTTCATGAAAATCCTTTACCAGCATTTCCTACAAGAAATGATGACAGGTTTTTTTACTTGCTTCAGAACATAAAAACCCTTTCGGTAGATTAGACCAAAAGCCAATATTGAGTCTTATGTATTAAACTTAAGGTTGGATTTGCACTAGGATGAACCATTTGACCATATATCTTATTGGGTGACTTAGGACCAGTTGTTCTTTCTCAGAGCAAGCTGTAACACAGACTTGCTGGGATAAATTAAGGAGACCCCCATTTATGACATCTGGAGGTTCAAAGAAAGTGCATGATATAAAGGCAAAGTATAACTAAATGATGATCTATTCTATCATCTTGATTCCACAACCAGAGGTTTTTGGATTCTCACATGAGGGGCATCATATCTTCTCAATCATATCTCCTCAGCAATGGCAACTAGAGTGTTTTTAAAAATGACTATGTATTCTCCTTTCAACAAAATAATAAAGGGAATGGAGTTAATACCCAAAGATTTATTTCAATGATGCGACTTGATGACCAGAAATTATGATCTAGGGTCATTGACTAAGTCATTGTTTCATGTGGAAAATGCATCCCATGGCACTTCTGTCTTTACACTAAGCAGGACATCCAGATCTTAAAACAAAGAACCAAGCCATCAATATTTGGAGTTAATAATATAGCAGCAATAGTAAAAATCTGTAATAGGGATTCCCTGGCTTCTTTAAAAAGCTCTCTTTCAGTACAAGCACAGATACTAATCCTAGATTTTCAACAATAGACTCCTTTTTGCCCCATGCTTCTCACCACTCTGGGCCATAACACGTGTAACCTCTAGAGAAGCTGAAGATCTCCTCCTCCATTGCCTTGGCCCTTGTGCTTTGAGGAATACACCTAAAGCAATTCTCTTTCTCTAGTGGAATGTGCACCTGCAACAGCAGAGAGGAAGAATTTTGCCAACTGAGAACTTTCCCAGACAGAGACCCAGATCAAGAGACAACACAGTCCAGAGCTGAGGGGGAGGGGAAAAGTGAAACTATACTCTAGATAGAATTTCTCAGGATATATCAAGTAGTTTAGAAAGATAGAACAAGATTCTATCTATTACATGTAAATAAATAAAGGATTGGACTTGCTTGGATCTCAGTGTCTCATCTCTGGGCTTGAGCGTGACATTCTCCAATTAATTGTGCTCAATTTGAGTGAGATAACTGATGATGAACAGGTGCCAAGTGAATGAGAAATCAAATCAGAAGAATCCTTTACCAGCAAACCACTTTATTACTGATAGAGGCAAAGTTTTTGTCAGTGATTGGGTACCAAGTCCCTCACCAGGGGACTTGGTAGGGTCAGATGACTGAGGATGTAAAGTGTGCAATCATTGCTTGAACTGGGTATATGAAAGCACATGATTGTTTTCTGAGTGCAGTATTGAAAGTGTTGGATATGCACTATTTCTGACTTTGTTGCCTTACGTTCCTGTCAGATATGCTGTTGAGCCAGATAGAAATGTAGCTTGAGTAGATATCAGCTTGCTTTTATAATGTTCTGGAGCTTCATAACAATCATATATTCAAGGTTCTACCATTTAATGCTGTAAATAAATAAATTACTACTTCTGCAGTAGTAATACCAAAGATTAAGATAATTTTGTTTGAGAGAGAAAATGGAATGAAGGATTGCATTTAAATTCTGAAAAATTAGAGAAAGTACATGAATTTGTGTCCTTTGATAGAATGTTTATTAAATATAGGAAACTGGGGTGGAGAAATGTTAGGCTGTCCAATGGCTGATAGGAATGCAGTGGGTAGTATGTGGTGTGTTGCAAATAATAAATGTTTGTTAAAAAGAAGTCAGATTATCTGCACATAAGAGCATTCTTCTGCAAATCTGCTTAACTGGAAATTTGCTATATCATGAGAAACATACAAGTAAATGTAATGCAGTGAGAATGAGGTACTGAAGAAGTAGTAAAAGAAGGAGATAGGGTTAAAAGATCCTAAGTGAAGGTTATTAAATACAAAAATGAGTGACTGTATGAAATAAATACATTGAGGTGGTTTGATCAGTGAAAAAGAATGAATGAGGATCCAACTGCAACACAAATTAATAATTGGTGAATGGGTCAAGGGGAAGACTGAGAAAGTTGTGACTGGAAAGAGAAAAAGAGAGAGAAGAAGTTAAAAGTGCAATAGACAATGAATGAGATGGTAAAAAGAGATGAAACAATTACAGTTTGTAAGAATATTTCTTGTCTGTCTATCACATTTGTGGTAGCCATTCACTTTCTATAGAAAAATATGAAGAGATAAAGTGGATAGTATAGATGTAACCTAGATTTAGCTGTATTTTTCCTTTTTTTTTAACCTTATATCTTTCATTTAATTGGTTTAATGTTACACTTCTGCATTTTGTATAATGTTGTTTGCCGTGAGAGGGATTAGTGCGATGGGGATATATACATACACATACACATACACATGTGTGCCTAAGTATCTACCATAAAGTTTCTGCCAAAGAAATCCAACAGCTGAGATCACCCAATACTCACATTTTTGGTGGGCTCACAGCACGGTTGATCTGGGGCAAGCTCTCCAATTAGGAGGGAATTCAAATATTTCTTTACCAGATCCTCATCTTTGTGGAAAGCTGCAAAGGCATCCTAAATAAGGTTTAAAAATAAGGTTAACATGGCTAGCTGTTCTTTTTGGAAATAATGAAAAGTGCACTGTAGGTGATGCTTCCCAAATGACTATCGAGGAGGCCAACTCTATGACCTTGATTATTTTGAGGACTGAAGCTGTGTTTTTGTAGTTTACCTGAAATGAAAATAAGGATCATCTTCCACTGCAAAGCTCCTTACACAATTTATTTATTTATTTACAAAATTTATATAGCTGTTTACATGCTCGTAGTGACTCTAGGAAGCTTGCAAACAATAAAAACATAATATATAGAAAAAATAAAAATAAAAAAAACAAAAGCCTCCCCTGTCAACTGTCACCTTATACCTGCTGTGTTTCACTGTTATCTGGTGACAGACTGCCATGAACTGTAGAGGACGAGGAGGGGGATGCTTGGGGAATTGAGACTGTATCTCCTCAAGACATTCCCTCAAGGTCATTCCTCTTAGAGGATTATCTCTGATTGAGGGGTGCAATTCACCTCCAATTCTGGCAAGAGTTTTTGAAATTACTAGGGACAACCGAAGGATTTAGTCCTCACATCATCCTCAGACTAACGGGGCCTGTGAACATGCCAATGGAGCAGTACCTAAGATGTTATGTCAGTTATCAGCAAGAAAATGGGACTGACCTACTCCCATTTGCAGAAGTAGCATATAGCAATGGAGTACATGGCAGCACTGGCTTTGCCCCTTTCCGAGTTGCAACCGGCAGAGACTTTGTAGCAACGATGGTTGAACTTAAGTTACCAAACAACCTTAGAAGGATACACTCTGTTTTCCACTGTAGTCTTCTTAAACCAGCCAAAATCTCTCCCTTACAACCACCTACAGAAGCCCCTCCTCCTCCCAATCTCATTGATGGTGAACAACATTTCAAAGTAAAGAACATTTTGGACTACAATGTCTTAGTCAATGGAATCATTTCCCCTCCTCTGAAGCTGAATGGGAAACTGCCCAACATGTCTGAGCGCCAAAGCTTTTACATAAATTCCATGACCAATATCCTGATAAGCAACACTAATTAATTAACCTTACTCATTCTCTTTTAATTTCCAAGCCTAATGCCTTATTTCAAGAAGGGCAGAAAGTCAGCTGCCACCTTATACTTCCTGTGCTTCGCTGTTATGTGGTGACAGATTGCCATGAACTGTAGGGAAAAGGGATGAGTAGGGAGAAGCTTGGGGAATTAAAAGTAGAGACTGTACTTCCTCAAGATGCTACCCCAAGCTCATCCAGCTAAAAGGAAGATGGAGCTACATACCAAGCTGCATCTGAACTAACTGTTCCCTTCTTTTGGGTCCCACCAGATGTACCTCCTTAGGGGATCGGATATGCAATATTCCTTCCCCCCCCCCACTTAGTGGGTTGGCTGGATGTGACCGGCAAGAGACGGTCCCTCAGATAACCTGGTCCCAAGTCATGGAGGGCTTTTAAGGTGACAAGCAGCACCTTCAATTGCACCCAGAAGCAAATTGGCAACCAATCCAACTCCTACAGGAGAGGTGACATATGTGTACACTGTGGTCTGCACAAAACCATGTGGGCTATTGCATTTTGAACCAACCGGAGCTTCCGGAGGCTTTTCAAGGGCAGCTCCATGTATAGCACATTGTGATAGTCAAGACGGGAGGAGATAGGCCATGAGTGACCACGAGTAGGGATTGTAGGTCCAGGAAAGGCCATAACTAGCACACAACCTGCAGTTGCACAATACTCTCAGCAGAGAAAAATAAAATGCCATCTAAGGCTTTAATAATGATAATGCTTTTGTAATTAAACAATCTGATAAAGGAGGGATAGTTGTCATTATGAATGTGGCTTATTAAGTTCATGAAGCTAAAAGGCAACCCTGTAACAGTTATCAGAATGAACTGCGAAGTCACATGAAAGAATTTCCTAAGGACATACAAGATTGAATCTATGTGCAGACATTGCAGAAACCCTGATCAGGCATCTTTTACCTTCTACCCAAAATACATAAACAGGCAATCCTGTCCCATGTTCCAAACATTGGAAACATTACATCTAAAAGTCTGTGTTTTGGGAGCCTTATGCTACCAGTGCTCCCATCTCAGCTATACAAGAGAGACTACATACTCCCTAACAAATTTGAAATCCACTGACAACATCCCTGAAAGCATGGACAAGCATGGACTTCAAATTATCAAGAAAATAATAACCAACGACAACCCAGCTCAGTTTACCACCAGATTTCATGACTTTCATTCATCACTGTTTTTACACTGGTAACAGATATATCTGCATACGAATGGCACACTTATGTGCACATAGATCACTCCGCAATATGTTCATGGAAGATTTCAAATGTTCTCAACTCTTAACTCCTGAATTTATATGAAATTTATTGATGACATTTTCATGATCTGTACCCAAGAAAACAGTCCCTCATTAAATTCAATCAGGACTTCAACGCTTCCAATACTTCAATCCCATTATCAACCTAAGCCTTGATGTATTCCACAACAAGTCCACTTTTCTAATAATAGACACATCATAGAAGCATAAACTACATAATGGACACATAAACACCAGGAAGCTTATAAATCACCATTCATACCTACATGCTTCCAGTTTCCATTCAGAATATACTGTATATAGAATATATAGACTGTAGGCACAGAATATACAGAATATATAGACTGTAGGCACAGTCTATATTGAAGTACAGATTCACAAAAACCTTCACCAGCAGAAAAGAATATAAGACAGCTGAATTTACATATATCAAGAAGTACCAGGCTATCTCAGAAGACCTTAACAAAGACAGTGGGGTTTTAACCCATCATGATTACAGTAGGTAACCTGCTTCAAGGAATCCTCATCTGCTATTTCCCCAATTTTCCCCTTTCCTTTCCCATTTCCTTTCCTCCCCATTGCTACATCCTATGCACATAAATTCCCAGATTCATCCTTGAAGAAGGTATTCACATTCATAGAATGGCTACATATGATTCTTCCCTTCAGCATAATTCTCTTTCATATAGCAAAAACATTATTATTTAATGCAAGATAGATGTTTTGATCATAACAATGCCTGAATGTCCCATAATGGGTGGTTTAATGTCAAGAGAACCTTCAGTGAGAGGTTAATCTGAGGGCAGAATATATTAGGTATTTATCAGATATGTCTAGACGTTACAGTCTGTTTCTAAAAAGAGTGATCCCTTTTTTACCTGCTGCAGATGCTTCCAAGATTGAAAGCCCTGATAAATGTGCAAGAACACAGATGTTTTTGAGCCTCAGCTATTGATCCTTGTATATGCAAATTACAACAGGTAAATTTAAAAAAGTCCATCTCTGACCTGGGAATTTTTTATTTAGCTTATATTTATATATATTTATGCACTGAAGCAATAATGACATAGGCTTAGATATACATGTATATGCGTGTATACATATGTGAGTGTGCATTTAAACATTTAATCAAAATAAATTTTATAAATAAGTTCTGGGTCTATAAACTATTGTTGAAATGTACAATAGAGTCTACAGATTCTAAACTTACATAGAATTCAGTCCACAGTGTATTTACTAAAAAATCCTAAAATCCAACAATCCTTGGTAGAGCACGCACTTCTCTGCTACCAATATTACTCATATATTTTCATTGAGAAAGTCTTCCTGACTGAATTTTGCTTAGGCAAAATATAAGCTGTGTCCATGTCCATGCAAAACACCTTCTGAGCAGGTCTTCAAACCTAAATTGTATTTTGTTCACATTGTCTAGAAGTCAATAAAGTTAAGTAGCTGAAGTGCAGGCAAGCATTGACCCCAAACTGGAAAACAGAAAGTCGGCAAATCAAAGTAACTTCTATGTCTGGGGATCAGCTGCCAGGCCCCTGCTCTGTCCTTTTCCCAATAACACTTCTAAATTTTCTTCAGATACTACAGAATTGCCAAGCAATACAACCACCACCTGGAGCGTCTTACATTGTGTCAAAGCATTGGACTGTCTAATCCAGAATGATATTCTGTAATGCCAGAATTCCCTATGGCTTCTGACAAGAGATTTTTCCCCCTCATTCTGCTATTCGAGACCCTTGGAGAAAGACTGAGGAAGCCTCAACCTGAAATGTGTGCATACAAAGCAAGTGTTTTGTGGCAGCCTTCAGGTCATTCCAACCCTCTTTCCCCTCAGCAAGGACTCACCGTGGCATCTTGTCCAGAATAGTGTCTGATGAGGCGAGGCCCACCTGGATGCTGCAAATAGAACTGACTGACATCATAGACTTTTCGGTTGATTACCAGCCATCTCTCTTCCTTCAAGCCTCCATTGCCTGTGCGGAGCCCCACCTCCTCCCAGGTGAAGAGCCGTGGGACCCCTGACTCAATCTCTGGCTTCCCTGCACTGGCTCCTGATTGAGGGGGCATCCTGGCTGGAAGCACTGAGGGATGCTGTTCCACTAACTCCTGGGCCTTTTGCTTTTTTCCCCTGTGGAAAGTTGAAATGTCTCTACCTCTTCATTCTGTTAAATGTTGCAGACAACTTTATATACACCTTTATCTACTACCCACACTGCTATTAACTTTCTCTTGCTCCAGATTTATTCTTGGATGGCTTCCTCCTCCCTCTGTGGGAGGTATAAAACTGGATAGTATTACTGGAGATGGATTAATTAGGATTGTTGAGGTTTTTTAAAAATAATAATAATAAAAAACGGAATAATAAACAATTGTGTAAAATATTCTAGGTAAGAACTGAATAAGTTCGATAACAGCTTTCGATAGGAGTCTAGCAGCCTCATCACCAACAGTTATTTTTAAAGGGCTTCCTTCTGTAAAATACCAAAAGCAGAAAAGCAGAGAATTGGGAAACCCACTCAGGGAGAGAAGTATTGCAAAGAATCAGCATTTCATAAAGCTGTTTCCAAAACTCTAAATCCTTCTAGGCATGGGAATGTTCCAACCACTCACTTTTTAAAGTACATAATCACTTCTAATTTCATTCCCGATACCAGTGCATGTTCAAAATGGTACAGAGGCACTTATGTCAACATAGTTGTGAATTAAAGAAAAGAGATACAAATGAGAGGAGAACATACAACTATCTGCCTTTTTGAAGCTTTGTCTTATGTATGTCTATTCTAATCGGCATGGCTAATGACCAGGGATTAAAAGAGCTATAGTCTAAAATATCTAGAAGATTGCTAACATGCTGTAAACGTGGCTGAAAATTTAATTTTAGATCCTGACTATCTCCCCACCTCAGTCCTGTTCTGCTGCCTCATTGTGGCAGTGGGGTGCAAGACTCCGGTGTTTCTCAAATGAATGGGTGAAGAATCCTGGGAGTATTTAGGATTAGATTCTCCCACCAAAGTCAACAAAGCTATACATAGCTATATAAGGAAGCAGCAGTGTAAAATACAGAAGCTAAATTGTCATTTAGTAACAAGACAAAACAGTAACTTCATACTTAGAGAATGCAATGGAAAATCACATGGATAAATAAGATAAAGTGATTGAGAAAATAATGGTAGATAATGGGTATCTCAAGTCAGATAATCAACACAATATGAAGACAGAGTGTACATCTTGCAGACTATTTAGTGCTTATGAGGCAACTAGATTAAAGGATTATAAATATTTAATTAACAAAGTTGTCATGCTTTGAAAGAAATTCCAAAGATGCAAAGATAGTTACAGCAGGAACAGGGAAGGAAAAAAAGTATGAATGTGAGAAAGTTCAAAACAGTGAAAAATGAATTGAATTCATTTAACATATGAAGCATCAGCTAATTGAAATAGAGTTAAACTTGATGCTTGCCTTTATAACCAGGAAAGAAACAGCAGGAGCAGTACTTGGGTACAATGCAGTCAAGAACTGAATAAGGTTGATTAGACTTCATATACAACATTTTAAAATGTCAGACAGCCAGGTTTATGATCTAATCCCTGATGCAGAATAGGTGGTTGACAAGTTTTGTGGTAAGCTTTAATCCTGACAGAAACTGGAAACTGGAAATGTTACCTATAGTTGGGGACTAGAATGCCAAAATTGTATTGTATTGTATTGTAACAGGAAGGAAGGAAATACTGTATAACTGAACTATATCATTGCAACTAGAAAACAGAAATGAAGTGCTATAATGGTTCATCTATATCTATATCATCTATATCTATATCTATTTGTGTTTGTGTGATGGGATTCAAATATGTGAATAACTGGTTCTCTGTGTGGATGCCGCTTCCGGGAGTCCATTCTGGGTCTGGGCAACAAAAAATTAGCTACCAGTTCTGCCAAAGTGGTGCAAACTGGCTGAATCCCACTACTGTATGTATATGTACTGTATATGTATATGTATATGTATATGTATATGTATATTGTATATAACATACTGAAGTTTTGTATACTAGCAATGGCAGCATCCACAATACTTCTGAAGTTATTTCTTTATATATCAGAGCCTCTGGTAGTAGAAGTGATGGAAGATCAGCACTCCAATTGTTACTAAGTCAGGAGGATAATGGTATTGATGCGACATCTATAGAAAAATGGGAAGCAACAGAAGAATCCATAAAGATTTTAACTGAAACCATCTGTAAATCTAGAGAACAACACGATGATCTAGAGATTGGAAGAGGTAACTCCATGTTACCTCTTTAATTGATATTAAAGAAAGGAGATTTAAGAAAGTGCACAAACTATTGTACCTTTAAATTCACATACTACAAGAATAATGCTTAGGATGGTCAAATGCAGATGCCTACATGGCATGCCTAGTGCTGACTCTCAGGAATCTGACCCAAGATCGTCCTGTGGGACAGCAGGTTGGATTTCAGTCTGAGGAAGCTTGGAGGATTCAATCAGCTGAGACTGATCAACCTAATCGGGAGATTTGCTGATCACCAAACCCTAGAAGCAGCTGTGCCTGCTGTCAGAAGGTGAGGCATTGCAACTGGAAAGACCATTCAGCCTCAGAGCACACAGTGTGCAATGGAGGCAGAGCAATGGCATTCAGTGATTCTCCTTGCACACCTTGAGTGGGGAATGGGACAACTTGGCACAGCCACCTCACTGCAGCCAACTCACCATGGCCAACTTGCCATGGGGGAACTCACTGTGGAACAATTTAGCAATTCTATTTAATTATTTAAAATAAATAAAAAATTATTTTAATTTTTGTCAATCAAATTTCATTCTGTCCCTCCTGTTGCATCCCTTCTTTAATGATTCTATTCCACCATTTCTTTGTTATTAATGTAACTTTTATCCAGCAACAAGTTGTCCTATGGTGAGCTGGCCGTGGCGAGTTGGCCATGGTGAATTGTCATAGACCCCCTTGACTGCTCATAGCCTTTCAAATAACTTTATTGAATTTCAAAAGAATGATAAAATACAAAATCACAATGGGGAAAAATGGAAGAGGGGTAAAAAGAGGGAAACGTTTCTTAGAAAAATACATAAAACAAATATATAAAGAGTGGTTTTTTATTTTTTTCAATACACAGTAGATAGAATATATAATATAGCAGCCTCTTTCTCTAGCTTTAAGTAAATAGATTAAAATCTCATATAACAATAATACAATACAAACATTCTATTATTTTAATTTCTCCTCTCTCTCTCTCTCTCTCTCTCTCTCTCTCTCTCTCTCTCTCTCTCTCTCTCTCTCTCTCTCTCTCTCTCTCTCTCACACACACACACACACACACACACACACACACACCTGGGGCAGAACATTACATGGAAAGGGAAATGCCAGAAATTCAAGTTAGTTTCAGAAAAGTGTGAGGAACAAAAGACATTATTGTTGAAGTACTCTGGACAATAGAGAATACCAAAGAGTAACAAAAATAAATCAGTATGTTCTTCATTGCTTATGTCACTCAGGTGCTATGGGATGTGCTTAGAAAAATGGGAATCCCATAATATTTGATTGTTTCCACAAGGAATATATGCATAGGACCAGGAAATTACAGTCCAGATAGAACGTGTCAAAACAATCAATGAAGGAGTGAAATCCAAACTGATATCATTTCCTTTCACAAACTGTATAGCCCCCTTCATTCATCCAGGAGAAATTCCATTCTTGTGACCATATTAATCCATCTCAATATATTGAGGACTGCAAAGGATTATCTGGGAGGTCATTTGACCACTAAGGCCTCCATCCTGCCTAGGGACTATCTCTCCATGAACCACATTTTTGTGAGCTCCCATAGACCAGTTACAACTTAACATCACATGTTCCAACCTAGCAATTATCTTCACTCGTCCCACAGTGCAAGTATTTGTCTCTATAGAGTAATATAAATATGCTTTGTGGTGTCCCCAAACAACACAAGCCGACGAAGAACACCAGACACAAGGTGCAGGTTTTGTTTCTTTTTATTGAAGCACTTCAGTAAAAGGGGTCCCAGCCAGTAAAATGCCAGGACCCAAAGGATTAAGAAAGCTTTACACAATTTCACTAAAGCAGAAAGCAGGACAAGGTGGGATTTATAAGAAATACCATCTTTTGTAATTGAAGGGTTCTGGAACAAAGGGAAATTGTTCAGTCTACTTGTTGCTTTCTTGCTTTTTGTAATGGGCTTTTGCACCAGAGAAATCTCATGCAAGTGTGGGAAAAATGTACATGGATGGGATACACTGAAGGAGGGAATAAGGGAGTGTACAGGAATGATTGATGTCTTCTTTATGATGTAATGGCTCTGTTGTCTGATTTTCATTGGCTAACAAAGTTTATAAAGCAATGCTACCAACTTTCTAAAGTGTGACACTTCTGGATGTAACTCTGCGTTCCAGATTGTTGGCCACACAGCTGCTTGATTTGATCAAATAAAGTGCTGCTTGATCAAGAAGTCTCCGCTTGGGTTATCTGATTAGATTGATATGGTATCTCAAGTTTAAGTAAGGGACTGGGACCTTACATAATGATATAACGATTTGTTCTATTGGTCTCTAATCGTCCCTATTCCTAAGCCTTGGCTAATGAATGTTCCAGGAGTTATCTAATACACATTCTATTTACTCCAGGCCATTCCTATTTCTAACTTCTAGCTGAGGTATGCAGGATGTTTAACTCTTTGTTACTGTTTATCAGTTCTCTAACTGCCTAGAATAGGTACAAGTGTTCCATGTGCATATTCTCTGTGAATAAACATTCTTTGTTCTTGCCAGACAGACTCCACAAATATAGAGTTCCCGGTTTTCTTTCAAGTGTATGCCATAGCATTGCTGTGTTTTCGAAGACAGCCCATCATTTGCATCAAACTCCAATTTCAACATCATTATTTTCATAGTAATAGAGTTGGAAAGGACCTTGGAGGTCTTCTAGTCCAGTGTTTCTCAACCTTGACAATTTTAAGGCATGTGGACTTCAACTCCCAGAATTCCACAGCCAGCATTGCTGGCTGTGGAATTCTGGGAGTTGAAGTCCAC